GGCACAGGCTACCTGGTGGGAGACAGCCTCACGATAGCTGACCTCAGTGTGCTGGAGGGACTCTTGACATTAACAGAGTACTTTGGCAAAGAAATATTTGACGGATTTCCAGCGCTAGAGGTAAGTCCTCGTGTTCCAAAGGAATCTTGTATTATATTTGAGGCAGCGTGGTGGAATCAGGCTCTCGTCAAAATAATCAAACTGAAGAATCTTACATTTTTCCGCAGGTTTGTGAATTTTTATAAAGTTTTTGTTTTTTGGCCCAACACTTTTCATGCCCATTAAAGAACTTATTTCTGTGTGGATTTTTCTGAAAAACGTTGATTCAAGGTACAAAAAATGGAAATATTCAGTTAGCACGGACTCTTAAGCTAAGGAACTAACCAATCTTTGGCGTCATCATAGTCGTCGTCATCATCATCATCATCATCATCATCATCATCATCATCATCATCATCATCATCATCATCATCATCATCATCATCATCATCATAGATTTTACCTTTAATTCTTTTTTTCGTTTGTGTTTTCTCAGAAATTCTTCAACACGGTGACATCCCTGGAGAAAATATCGGCTTATCTCAACAGCCCTCGCAGGAAGAAGAAGAATGATGAGCACTGCATCGCCAAAGTCAAAGAAATTCTTGCCTTGGATTGAATTTGACAATGAACTTTACCGAAATTGAACTTGACTTTTAATTGTTCCTTATACCCGGTACTGTTACAAATCAGATTACATGTTTATGCGTCTGTTGTGCTCTGCTTCATGTTGTGAATAGTGACCATCATTTGTTTGTTGTTTGAATTTACGCAAATGAACCATGTTTAAGTAAGAGTAAAATAAATGAATATTGTAGACCTATTCTGTTTGTGCCATGATTTATCCTCACAGGGTCACATGGTATTGGTAAAGAGAAAGGCAGGAATTATAATAATATCGTACGCCAGAGTTGGGTTTTTTTTCCTACTGACTGAAGAGCTGTTCATATTTCTAAAATGAATGCTTTTAATAAGAAAAAAATGCTGGCAGTGGTTGAGAGAGTTGTCAGAAGTTATTCAATTTTTGGGTCAAACATCATTATGTCTACTTTTCATTGTGTTGCAGTTGTTGTTATTGTTACCTCCCCCCCCCCCTCTCTTTTTGTTGATGCTTCCAAAATAATGACCTTTCTTTAATACTCTGAATAAAAGTTGTTCGAAAATAGTCAATGGTCTTCAGATATCAATGTACTACCGTGAGTTTTATCTTGATTGTTAATACAATATGCCTGCATCGACACAAGTTAGATATACATCAGTGGGTTGTTGGCGGGTGTTTTGGTGAGGTTTGATCCTTCTTTCCTACCAAACATCTATCGTCCTTATCTCTCCTCGTTCTTTGTGTATGTTACTCTCTTGTGACACATGATCTATTCTTCGTCACCTATGACCTTATTGTGTTGCAAGTGCCGTAAAACTCTGACTACAAAAATAAATATATACGTAATTTAGGAAGCTCGACACTTGGACTAGCCTGTCACTGTCAAAACTAATTTGGGTCACACGCATTACCGAGATGTAGTCCCTCATCTGTAGCACAAAAGTTGGGGCGCTTCTCCATTGCATTCAGAAGACACGAGTTCGATTCCTAAATGGAGAGTTTAAAAAAATGTATCTCCATCTGTCTGCTGAGCCATTGTATCACTCTCTGCCTCAGTTGGCCCCAACAAACATAGTCGAAGCAGCCCGCCTCTTAAATGTCCAAACTGTGTATGGGGGCGTAAAAGTGGACGATTTGTAAGGATGGGATACACCTGTCTAGCAGACTACAATAGCTGCTAGGATACTACTTTGTGCATTGTTAAGAGAATGTGAGTGGTTGTCGGGTGCTCTGGTGAGTTCCACGCCTTCTTTCCAATCAAACATCTTCATCTCTCCTCCTCCTTTTCTTTGTATGTTGCTCTCTTGCTGAAACACCTCCGATTTTCAGTACTTATGTGGCCTGATTAATAAAATTGTTCAGAAAGTGAAGGAGCTTAAAAGTAGCCAGTACTTGAGAGATTATCACCATTAGAGCACTTTAGAAACACAATTTGAATTAAACTAACATTAGTAACAGTTTAGCAAGCACATAGTGAAATCAAGAGGTAGAAATCAACCTTTTCATTATTAACGAATTACGCTACAGGCCTATACACGGAATATACGATGTCACGTAAGCAAAATTTTGGGGCCTGAAACTCTATTCACTACATGTGTGTTCGCTATACATGCATACTAGACTGTACAGTTGTAGGGTTTTAGAACTGAGTGTAAATGTCAAGAAATGAGTAATCCCATCTTAGAGACCACAAGGCGATGAAGACCAAAATAAAACGTACTCCTCAGATATTGTGAAAAAGAAAAAAGAAAAAGAAAGGTCAGTGATGCAAAAGAAAGGAGAGCCATCAATCTTGTCCGTGATGCATTAATAACAAAGCCAGAGTGAAATGAATGTTTAGACCCAAATGGAGACGGTGACCTCTTTTTTTAGAGTGCCAAAGGGCTGTTGACTTGGTTGACTGCAAACTATCTTTAAATTTTGAGACTGTCACGTGTCTAAGTTCCGAGATCTGATATCTCAGCAAGAATATTTAATTTATTATTCAGGTAAATCGATTGGGAAAGAAACAGCAGCATCTTGCAGTCCGCAAAATACAAGACCATTCTGTTTTTGTGCAGCAAGGTTATCAACAGTAATCCGCCCAGGTACCTTGAAAAAGCATGCAGTCAGAATAGTTACTATCAGAATATTTTTCTCATGTACAAACTGGACCACAGCGCCCATTAATGTATTCTTGTTCATAGCTGTGGCAAAAATGCATTTCCTTTAAAATTAACGGAGTTTTACTTGTTTTGCTTTAGTAAAGAGAAGCATATCGACGCAAAAACTGTCACTTAGTGCAGCGACAAAGTAAGATGGATAGACAGAAAATACAGAAAGAATTGTAAAATTAGGACCTACTAATATAGTGTAAAGCGCATAGAGTCTGCTGCTGAGCCGGGATATGCGCTATACAAAAGCTATCTATTATCTATTATTATTATTATTATTATTATTATTAGTTGTGCCCTTTAACTTTACAACATGCTAAATTAATTGACTGCATGATTGACTTACAACAATAACAGTTAAAACAAAAACAAAAACAAAAATACTTTTCCATTTTTTAATTATTTTTTAATACTGTACATATTCTATCATAAGTGAGAGACCGGTATCGGAAAAACCCTCAATTTCAACTAAGAACTTTTCTAGGAATATTCCAGACTATTCAAAGGTTTTTAGCCTCACCTATGCTTTGCCGTACACTTTTACACCAATCAAACAAAAATCCAAACTGACCGTCTTAAGACTTGATCAAAATCAATACCCGTTTGCGTTCATGGCCGCTAGTCTTTTTCTCTCTTTTATTTCCTTCTCAATAAAGATTTCACTGCTCTAATGCGCACCATGAGAGCTCAAATGAAGGGAGAAACACAGTACTATGGCGCCAAGCCACACGCCACCACGACAAAAGTGGAACGACTTCGACAGGACCCGGGCTGCAGGATGGAGTTGGCGAACGCGAAGTGTCACGCAGACTTCGGGTATCACACTCCACCATCATACGGCTGAGGCAGCGGTTCGTGGTGTCAGGAAGAGTCCAGGAGTGACGTCGCACGGATCGTCCCAAGAAAACGACAGCAAGAGAGGACCGCTACATCCAACGCCAAGCCAAACAGCAGCGGACTAGCTCTGCTAACGCCATCAGGCTACGCCTGCGAGCTACCACCACAACACAACAGTCTGTTCGCAGACAGTACGTAATCGCTTTCATGACGTCAACCTTCGTGAAAACCTAAACTGACCTAGAACAAGCGAGCCAACCGTTAAATCTGGTGCACTGCGCACCAGAGATGGACACATGCCCAGTCGACAGAGATCCTGTTCCCTGATGAATCTCGGTTCTGTCTGACACCCAGTGATGGCCGAACCCGCATCTGGACGCGTCCTCGGGGGGCAGCTTGCTGCCAATGCAGTTCAAGTAGTGGTCCCGTTTGGAGGCGGCTCCGTTATGGGTTTTTTTGGGGGGGATCAGCAGACATCACAGAAAACCCTTCACCATATCGACGGTTTCCTGACAGGGCAGCGGTATCTGCAGGAGATCCTTCGACCTCTGATCGTCCCGGCGCTGCGGCAGATTGGGTCTGCTGCTGTCCTTCAGGGCGAGATCGCCACGGCGCAAATATCATTGACAATTATTAGTTGCGCAAACCAGGCTCATTTTGGTCTTGCAACCCGCTGCTGCCTTCTTTTCTTATTGCTCAAGTCCAGTACAACCTTCCTGTTATATTCGTACCTTCTGTTCTTTCTATCCCATTGTTGCCTTCTGTTCTTTCTATCATATTCTTCCCTTCTGTTCTTTCTATCACATTCTTTCATTCTATTCTTTCTATCATATTCTTTCATTCTATTCTTTCTATTACATTCTTTCATTCTATTCTTTCTATTACATGCTTTCCTTCTGTTCTCTCTATCACGTTATTCGTCCTTTTTGTTCTTTCTTTCACATTTTTCTTCCTTTCTATTCTTTCTATCCTATTCTTCCCTTCTTTGTCTATCATATTCTTCCCTTCAATTCTGTTTTTTCTAGTATATTCTACCCTTCTAAACTCTTTTGTCATATTTCCTCCTCTGTTCTTTCTATCATATTTCTACTCTTTTGTTTTTTCCGTTATATTTTTCGCTCTATTCTTTCTATCATATTCTTCACCCCTGTTCTTTGTATAATATCTTCCCGCGTTATTCTTTCTATCATAGCCTTTT